GCTCCCGAAACAGCTGCAGCACGCCGTAGGGATTCTTCAGTTTGCTGGCCACGCGCTCCTGTGTTACACGTGGCCAACTACATATCTTGTACATTGTCTGCTCCACCCATTCTCGGGTGAAACACTCGACACGCTCAACGGGCGTGAGGCCCGCCGCCTTCCTCGAGGATGCAGCTGCAAAAGCAAGCTCGTAGCTGCTCCACAGTACCTTGTAGAGCATCTTCTGCATCTGCTTGTCCCCCGCGAGATGAACGAAGGAACAGTGCCATATAGCTTTGTCCAATAGCAACTTCTCGAAACGCTCAAGATGCTTGCCGATGACTGCCTGTTCCACTCGAGTCTCTATGTAATCTGGTCGCTCCGCATGCAGAGCTTTCCAGACTTGACACAAAGCCGGACACAGGTCCAGGTCGCAGAACCAGGCATCGTCCTTGTGTTTACGAAATAACTGGTCCAGCACAGCGTCCACGAACATCGCCGCGGCCTCCAAACACGGATGATTCTGCAACCTCCAAGAGCTGGCTTCCTGGTACAAACGCCCAGAAATGGATTTACACAATTCCAATTGAATCGAGGCTGCAACATGTCCCATGTGGTTCTTCTCGAAAGCAACCTGTACTGCGTTCTGTACCAGACTTTCAACTTCCTCCTCGAAAACTGCTGCTTCGCCAGAGCTCCTGTGTCTAGAAGAATCACTGGAAGAATAGGAAGTCTTGCAAATTCTGCTGCAAGCGGTCGAAGAGACTGGAGCCGGTTTGCGTTTGGTGCAAGTACACGAGGGTCGGAATGACACGTGAGGGGATGAACCTCCAAATGCCTGCAACTCGTCCACGGGCTCGGAGCTCGTCTGAAGCAGAGACGATGTCCGTGCCGTTTTCGCCTCCGCCTGGAGGTGCGGAAGCTCGCGAGATTCGACCGAATCCGCAGGAAGCAGGCTCCCCTCGGCCGCTACATCCCTTTGCGGCGAAGACACCCTGTCGACCGTGTTCAATCCCTCCTCACTATGCAGAGTGTAGAGCGAGCTGACCATGCGGCCGACCCACTCCAAGGACAGTGGTGGCCTCCACGATTGTTCCTCCCCGAGATAGCTTGCCACCTGGCTTTCGACCTCGTTCAAGTAGCCCAGCGAACGCTCCGTAAATTCCCAATCCCCGTGCGCTTCTATCTGGTACTTGAGCAAAGGGAGCAACTCTCCCGTATAATAGCCTTGATAATAGCTTTCCTCATAAAACTTCACGGCCTTCTCGACCCATTCGGATCTGTGAAGTGACCTCACAGTTCCCATCATGGGGGCTCCCGGAAGCTGTTGCCTCGCAGGCCGCCGCCGGGAACGAGCGTGTGACGCCATGCCAGATACCCGGTAACCTGCCTTTTGTTTTTATGTTCGGGAAACTTCAAGAAAAGTAAGTCGCGTGAGCCTGACTGCAAAGCTCTACAAAATGTCTCTAGGCAAAACACAGCTTGGCCCGGCGAGACGCCGAGGCCTCGAGCCAGCGTCGAAGACGCGGTCAAGACAGCTTTTCTAATCGAAGAACACCTACAAGAGTGAAGCTAGCGCACCCACACTTGCCCCATGCCGGCGAGCCTGAGCGAAGACGCTGACCTGCGTCGCCGCCTTGCTCCAAAAACTGCGAAATGCCGCAGCTCGACCACGCCTGAGACGGAGACCACGCGGACCGCCGCGGCGCGAGGTCCGTCGCCTCTTAGGCGCGGATGCCGCGACCGCAGGAGCGTCCTGCTGCGACTCCGACTCTGCATCGCTGACCGTCTCCAAATCCCTGCAATGCGGCTGGTCTGCGATTGACATAGCACACGGCCCAAAAGACACTGCGCCTTCTAGAAGGCGGGCCACGGCTTCCGCAACGCGCTTGTGCTCTGCCTACCACACCGAGAATGAATGCGGGGTCGGCGGAACCCGAAAAAATGTAGACGTCGTTGATGACACGCCGCATCACTGCATCGCTGTATTGGGCAATGTCGAGCAGCAACCGTGCCTCAAGTGCATGACTCTAAAGCAACTAAATCTGAGCTTGCCACTGACTCCCAAAAGACCTGCAGATAGACTGCCTGCCCCACCTTCTCCTCGCCGACTGCCCCGAGAGCGCCCCTTTGCAAAAGAAGCTCGCCCACGTGCTTGCGCATCTCGGACACGCGCGGCAGAACTACATTCATCGCAATGGCAACAGAATTTCTGCCGCTCACAACCGGAACTTCTATGCTTTCCGCACATGACACTATCGAACGCACCGCACATCCTCCGACAACAAGCTTGAGCCTTTGCGAACTTACTGAAATCATGTGCTTGGCTTGGCCAGTGGCCGAAGCCTCGAACCGATAAGGAAGATGCAGAGGACATGATAGTAAAGAACCAGACGCACCTCTGCAGACAACGATGGAACGGAATCCCCCCTGTTTCCTACGCTCGTTACTTCAAACACTGCGATTCCTGCCAACCGGACATACTCCTACTCATTGCGACTTGCAATCCTGGTTCGGATACATCCTGCCGGGATCCTCATCGGACAAAGGTACGCTTCGATGAGCCTGGTGCCGCAGCCTTCCAGCTGGAGCTTTCGCCTTGGCATGCATCCCCGCAGACAGAAACGAGAGATTGGACTCCTCCGAAGGCGATGTGCTCGCAGACGAAGCAACGGGGATACGTCCTGGCGACCGCCGAACGGATTGCGCTTCTTTGAACCGAATGACTTCCGCTTCCTTGAAGTTGGCATGCGTCATAGGAGATCTCTCAGGAACCGGCAACGGCTCGAATGTCATCTCCCTGAAAGCTTGCCTATACTCCTCGTTGTCGACCACGCAGAAAGGTTCGCCCGCAGAAACCGATTCTTCCTTGCGCCAGCAGACATCAGACCTCTGGGAATATTTTTCGATCCATGGCTCCAGGCTATACATAGGTTCTTCCCACGTCCAATTCTTGCGCCTAGGAGCAGACTGTTCCTCGGAGCGATCCGCAACCGAACCTGTTTTGTTGGAACACAGATCCGAAGACTTATCGGGTGCAGGTGCTCTCGAGTCGGCCGCGAAATGGAGAAGAAGCTGAATCAAGTCGGATATATCAAGCTTCATCTGCAAGTCCACACTGACACAAAGACATGGTCGACCCGAACGCGGGTCGAGATTTATCTCCGCTTTGGAGGCTGGGCCGGTGGTCAAAGTCAACGGTAAAGAGTTCGGAGCCATTGCAACACGAGACTAAATCGGTCCACTGCAGTAATCTGTGTTGCATGAAAATGCTGCGAGCACGAGAATGCCTGCTGCCTGAAATGAGAGTACGTCACGGCTTGACCCGGCCAGTAGCCGAGGCCTCGAACCGAGGAGCGAGCGTCGCTTCGAGAAGCTATAAACACATGGTTAACCCTGGCAGACGATAGAACATACATAAGCCCGGCCTTGCGATGTTTGTCGTCTTCTTGGCTTTCTGCTAGAAAATGCAAACCTCACAGAGACGGCGATTGGAACTCGAGATCTGCTTTCCTTTCCTTCGGTCTGTTAGGACCGACATCAAAAGAGCAGCTGCTGTGTCAGACTAACAAAGCCGTCAGCCATGCAGCCAATGATCCGATACAACCCCAAAAAATATACTCCTCTCGGCCTTCCGACACCCTGACCCGCTAAAATGCCTGCTGCCTCAAGTGCAAGAACGTCACGACAAAAGTCAGACAGTAGCAGAGGCCTCTAACCGATGAGCGAACATCGCTTCGAGCAACTGGAAAAAGCCCGATAACACTGGAACAAGCCGAACGTGCAAAAGCCCTGCCTTGCCCTCCTCGTAATCTCTTCGGCTTTCTTCTGAGAGCTGCAACCTCGCGAAGCCGCCGATTATGACTCGATAAATACGTTCAGTTCATTCAAGCTTACAAAAGCAGCATAGAAAGGTCGCTGCTGTATTGTCCCTAAAAAGCCACCAGACTCACGGTCGATGATTGAATGCAACCCAAGAAAAGTACTTCGCTCAACCTTCTGACGCAACCGACCCGCTGGGGCCCCCGACGTGCGAAGAAGCGAAGCTTCCACGACAGAAGACAGCGGGAGGTAGAGCTGCTTGTTGACGCATGAACAGTACGCGCTCAAGCTTCGGACAACTAAAAAGGAAGGCTCCTGACCTTCGGAAACTTAGCTTAGACTGCCCCGAAGGATTCGTTCCCAGTGTCTAGCAAGAAAGCAAGAGACCGTGGCGTCAAAACTCCAGGTGCAGAAATGAGGATTCCAAAAAGTAATGATTTCGACGGTCTGGAGAATGCAACATGGTTTGGAATGCATGCGCCACGAATCAAAACAGCAGCCCCCCGGGGATTCCGACTCGCTTACTTGCAAGGCTGCCCTAAAAATAAACCCGCACCAGAGAAAGCATCGAGCTGCTGGCTTACTTTGAAGTGCTCTGAAATAGAGCCTAAGAACCGAAAAAAGCAAACCCCGAGCCGTAACCTGTGCATCCAAACGTGCTCGGATCCTGCAAAGCGCAAACCCGGAAGGGACCACCGAAACGTGCTTTTGCAGACCCGAAAAGCACGTTTTGGAGGGTCCCGAGCCCGTGCCGCGCAGAGGCAAGACAAGCGAGGTAACTGCTGCTTTCGTCCCCCTGGGTCGCTCGTATTGGTTCCACATAAATAACCTTGGCTTGGCCTGGCCAGGAGCCGAGACCGCGCATGCACAACGCCCGAGAGCCAGCGCAAACTCCGAACAGATGTCCAGAACGCACTTTTGCAGGCTCCAAAAGTACGTTTCGGAAGGATTGCAGCGACTAAACAGACACAAACTGCAAACAAGAATAATGCATGATACGCGACAGGGCTCCACCGGCACGTTTCCTTAAACCCATGCGCTCCGATCCAACATTCTTTCCGATGCATGTGCCATGATGCAAAACCACCACCCCTGTCGAGGATTTCAGTCGATGACTTACCGTCACATGCCACGTAACAGGGGCCGAAAGCCAACACAGCAAAGCCGAATCATGTGGCCCTGGCAGCACTTTTGCAACTTCAAAGCCAAAACACGCGAACTCGAACATGCACGCCGAATGCAAGAAACCACGGGCCTGCCGACGTTTGGTACACTTTCACGGCCGGAGAACATATCACAATCACAAGTGACCAACTCCGAATTCGTTGGCCCTGCCAACACAAAACGCACGTGCGCGCGTACAAGCGAACGGCGGCGTCTTTGCACAAGCGAACGGGCAAATCTTTGCACAAGTGACAGCCCAGCCTACTACCACGGTCCTGGCGCAAGGCCAGCGATTGCGGGAGATCTTCCTGTTTCCATCTCTGGACAAGGATGTCGGCAAGGGTTCCTTCGCTGTTGTCGAGAGCTTCCACTCTTGGGATCACGAAACTCACACCGGGGCATTGGTCCTCGAAGAACTTCTGGATGTTCTCTGCGGTCAACTCTGGCAAGTGATGGACGCCAACGCTCGGGAGGCGAGGCCCAGATGGCCCCGACAGCTCCTCTGACCAAATTGTGTCCCTGGCAAATTGTATTGCCACGTCCTCAGAAGCCAGCTTCTCAGATTGCAGATGCTTGCAGAAGTGAGCATCCTCGGCCATGCCATTTGGGTGGAAAGCCTTGGTGATCCTTAGCATCGCCTCGCGATTCCGGAGGCTGAAACCACCGTTCCCGCAGAAGGACGAATTTAATCGGGACCACGGAGCCCCGACATATAATCGTACTGAAGGAAATCTTTCAGGTGCTCGTGTGCCCCATTGCAGATCCAAGAGTCCGCCTGAACAAGCAGCACTTTCGGGGTAGTTATCAACTGCCAAAACTCAGTCGAGAAGAGTGCCTTGGAGTATGCAGGGAGGCGTTCGCGTTTGGGAAGCTGGCTGGCATTATATGCTTCTCCTGGCATTGGTGTGAGAAAGACAGCACCTTTCTGCTGGAGTTCCACCAGGATCTTCTGCACATGAACGTAATCCTTGTTGGCACTACCATACATGATCTGTATTCGCAGCTCTGGGAAGTGCATGTGTGCTTGGAGCACCACAACAGGTAATGTCACCAAAGGTCTCGTCTCCGGAATGAGAATGGACAGCTGGCTGCTGTTGTATGTGTAACCGCTCCGGACCAATTTTGTCGCCTTCTGGTCCAGGCTGGGAACAGCAAAGATTTCGCTCGGCGAGAGATTACAGGGGACGCTTGCGATGTCGTTCCGCTCAGAGCCACGCAGGGTCACGGCTCGGCAAAGACAGAGCCAATTCCCGAGCAGCAATACATGTAGACTAATACCCGAGATACGGATCGTGCGGGAAAACATGGGGCGTAACTAAATCTTGGGCCTTTCTTGGCTGCATGATTTGTGCTTTGAGGCTTTAGGGATTCGAGTTCCTTTTGTTTCGGGTGGCAGAATGTCGGCACGGAGTTTAGTGGGGCTTCAGGCTTGGCTCTCACCTTGACTCCACCCACAGGATTCTGCTTGAGGCTCCCCGAACAGGTCCTGTCCTGTCAGCTCAACAACCGAAGTCGAAGTTGCGGCTCAGACAGGAACTTACTTCAGCAATGTCCGGTGATGTTACCCACACGATCCCACACGTGCTGTCAACTCCAAGAGCTGTGTCCCTGCACAAAATCCGACGCGCCTGGCCACGGCATATCCAGTAGAAGTAGATCCTGGGTGCAGAACGCTCGGTAGAAGCTTTTGAACATGAAGCAGCTCTGCAGCCCTAAAGCTGTCGAGCATTCGCGCCCTGTGTGCAGAAATGATATCTTGCAATACAGAGTAATGACACGTGCATGCCACTGCCTTCATCTTGCGTTGCAGGACAAACTCTTCCACGACCAATGAACCCCGCTTGAAGACCGTTAAAACTTCTCTGGTGACATGTAGCAGAAATTGTTCACCTGAAGTTTTATGTGCTGTGCCTTGTTTCTGAAAGGCCTTGGGCCGAAAAAGGCTTGCCTGGGCCCGTCTAAGTTAAAATATGCGAAAACTACCATTCCAATTGCTCACCGTATCGACCTAAAGCTTGAATTTATTTCTCCTCCGTGCTATCGGTTGATGTAAGCACTAGGGGAGGCCTATGGATGACAGCACCTGTTGTTGTCATTGTAGTATGCCGCTGGTTGCATTCTGGTTTGTCATCTGGCCATAATCTCGCTCTCCTCGTCCTCACTGTGGTCGGCATCGTCTTTGTCTGTGTTGTTCCCCTTCTGCCGAGAGATGCTGATACCGCCTCTGTTGCTGCAGCTGCTGGTGTATATGATCAAAGGGATTTATCACACTCCTCCGATATAAAGACCGCTATACATCACGTTCAAGAGGAACGTGCCGAAACCTGACCCCAATTCGTGGCCGTCGGACATGCCCTCGTGATGAAAACCCTAACACTTGGGAAACAACATGCACCTTGCAGCCCGCACAGCTGCCGACCTTGAAACCCAAAGCCTTTCACGGGACTGGGCTGGAAACGCCTCGGTCCTGCAGACTGACGTCCCGCACCCCGACTACGCTATGAAATGAAACTCGAATTCTCAATCCCTTAGTTAACCGCATCAATGCTTTGCTCTTGCACGCCACGGAACTTCTTGGGGACAACGACGAGCTCCTAGATTGCCACATGCCATACAGTGGCATTCTGCATTAAATCACTTTGTTTATCTGTGATGCGATTACGAACAATCACAGTGCAAGGATATGGCGCGATTGCGAATATTTATAGCAGAGCTGGACCGCCCCCGCCACCGTCATCATCACCTCCTAAACCAACACCGCCATGGATCACTGCTCCCATATCAACCCACACCTACACCGACACCCACCAGACCCATCAGACCCACCACCACCACCACCACCACCACCACCACCACCACCACCACGGCTTCTACCAGCAGCAGCAGCAGCAGCAGCAGCAGCAGCAGCAGCAGCAGCCCTACCACCGAAACCACACCACTACCGCCGCCACCTCCGGTGCCGGCAGCAACGGCAACAACCAACCACCACACCACCAACTACAACAGCACGCAACCGGCACCGGGGCTGGCTCGGCGTCGGTGCTGGACACGCCATCGTATAGATTAGAAACACCGACTTTTCAAAATGGATGGTCTTTGTTTGAACGTCTCCGTGGGTAGAGAGATGGCAGACTCGTACTAGTGAAGGACAAACAGGCGGACGTGGGACGCGGGACGCGGAGCGGCTCGAAACAACATAGCCACGCACACAAAACGAGTCAGAACTGAATGAGCTGCCGGATTGCCGCCCATGGCACTCCGCCAAGACGATGGACGGGCAGCAGCATTCCTGGGAGTCTCCGAAGCACATTTCCCGATTCCCCTCTATGACCTGATCGAGAATCTAGAGCCTTCCTCTTCACCAGAATGAGCCTCTAAAGTGTTGCAAGATGGTCTCTCGCGGCTCTCAAAACAAGGCGCAGGCTGCTTTCCGGAGTCAGCACCGCCTACAACTCCCCTGAATCTTCTGCAACTGCGACGAGTGCAAGTGGGATGCGCACCACTACCACTACCCCTGCCGCCACTTCGACAACCACTACCATCACTACCACTACCAATACCCGCACCAGTAATACCACAACGACAACAACAACCCTAACCGCTATACCACAAGCACACCACCTACAATTACAACCCCAACTACCGCTACCACCACCACCACCACCACCACCACCACCACCACCACCACCACCACCACCACCATGACATACGGGCACCTACTACCCCTACCGCCCCTGCTGCCCCTACTACCCCTACTACCCCCACCACCCCTACTACCCCCACTACCCTTACAACTACTACCCCTACTACCTCCCCCTCCCCCTGCCCCTGCCACTACGACTACGACGACGACTACTACTACTGCTACAGCTACAGCTCCTGCTCCTGCTGCTGCTACTGCCACTGCTACATCGAAGCAATAGCAGTAGTAGTGGTTTCAGCAGCGTATGGAGGAGTAGTAGTGCCGCTAGCACTAGTCCCAGCAGTACTAGTGGCAGTAGCGGCAGCAGTAGTAGCAGCAGTACTGTGGTAGGTCAGTCTTTCAGTAGTTCCAGTAGTACTAGTACAAATACTAGCATCAGCATCAGCATCAGCATCAGTAGCAGTAGCAGTAGCAGTAGCAGTAGCAGTAGTAGTAGTAGTAGTAGCAGTAGTAGTAGTTAGTAGGTAGTAGTTAGTAGTTAGTAGTTAGTAGTTAGTAGTTAGTAGGTAGTAGGTAGTAGGTAGTAGGTAGTAGGTAGTAGGTAGTAGGTAGTAGGTAGTAGGAAGTAGGTAGTAGGGGTAGTAGGTAGTAGGTAGTAGGTAGTAGGTAGTAGTTAGTAGTTAGTAGTTAGTAGTTAGTAGTTAGTAGTTAGTAGTTAGTAGTAGTAGTAGTAGTAGTAGTAGTAGTAGTAGTAGTAGTAGTAGTAGTAGTAGTAGTAGTAGTAGTAGTAGTAGTAGTAGTATAGTAGTAGTAGTAGTAGTAGTAGTAGTAGTAGTAGTAGTAGTAGTAGTAGTAGTAGTAGTAGTAGTAGTAGTAGTAGTAGTAGCAGCAGCAGCAGGTAGGAGAGTAGTAGTATAGTAGTAGTAGTAGTAGCAGCAGCAGCAGCAGGAGTAGTAGTAGTAGTAGTAGTAGTACAGTAGTAGGTGGTAGTAGTAGTAGTAGTAGTAGTAGCGGTAGTGGTAGGTAGTAGGTAGTAGTAGTAGTAGTAGTAGTAGTAGTAGTAGTAGTAGTAGTAGTAGTAGTAGTAGTAGTAGCGGTAGTAGTAGTGGTAGGTAGCGGTAGTGGTGGTAGTAGTAGTATATAATAGTAGTAGTGATAGCAGCAGCAGCAGCAGCAGCAGCAGCAGTAGTAGTAGTAGTAGTAGTAGTAGTAGTAGTAGTAGTAGTAGTAGTAGTAGTAGCAGTAGCAGTAGCAGTAGCAGTAGCAGTAGCAGTAGCAGTAGCAGTAGTAGTAGTAGTAGTAGTAGCAGTAGCAGTAGCAGTAGCAGTAGCAGTAGCAGTAGCAGTAGTAGTAGTAGTAGTAGTAGTAGTAGTAGTAGTAGTAGTAGTAGTAGTAGTAGTAGTGATAGCAGCAGCAGCAGCAGCAGGTGCAGTAGTAGTAGTAGTAGCAGCAGCAGCAGTGGTACAAGTAGTAATGTCAGTTGTTGTCGTCGTTGTTGTTGCGGTTGCAGCAGCAGAAGCAGTAGCAGCAGCAGTAGCAGCAGCAGCAGCAGGAGGAGCAGTACCAGTGGCCGTAGCAACAGCAACGACCACAAGCACTGCCGGGTGGCTTTGCATGTAAAGCCTAGAGGTGCCCCGCTGCTTGTACAACTACTACTACTACTACTACTACTACTACTACTACTACTACTACTACTACCGGTATTGCGACATCTCTGGCGATTGCCAACAGAAGACGTGCACCAATCTGGCCAGGAATCATGATCGTCTCTCTGTGCTTCGAGCGCAGTTGCACCGACCGCAAGATGGAAGCAAAGGGGGTGACCTGGCACGGTGAACGAACTGAACCCGGCCAAAGCCGAAGAGCTGTGATTGGTCGGAATGTGAAGATGGCAACAAGGCTGTTGAGTTTACCCAATTCCAGCTTCAACTTTGTGGTTGTGCGGAGCCCAGAGGTCGCAAGCCTTCTCACCAGGTGAAGACAACGTTTGTTCAACATCTGATTGTGGCAACCAGCCCACTGACTGTCATGGCTGGCTTCGCCACGAAACCACAACACTTGCTCCCTTATCGTATTGGAGACCGGAAGCCGAACACCCACCAAAACCTACAGCACCTAGGAGGCAACATGTCAAAGCCACGCCGATGCCAGCGCCGACCATCATGAGAGTGTCGAAACCCCACACCTCCGCGATAGCTCTGATTTTACTCTGCAAGGTTGAATTCGAGAAAAAATCGCACTCAAGTTAATTACACCTGCAGCTTACCCGTCATCCCGACCTGGTTCAAACATTAGTGCGCATCGCATTACAACACCAGCTTGTCGTAGGTTGTTGGCAGGTCTATCTCCGCTCATGTGTGGGGCCCTAATGTCAGACTCGCTGACCTCAGCCGTCTGTCCGTTCGGAACGCCTAACAGCAGACGTGCATGTGATCTGGAAGAAAACGTCCAACCTTCTGTGCCGGTGCGCCGAAAGGCCCTGTGACTTGAAGCACGACAGCCTGCAAGCACACATCGGGAGGCAGCTGCCTCAACGCTCATGCTTACACCACAATCTCATGGACATCGAAAGCGGCAGCCGCAAGTACTGACGGAGAAACGACGCCTCCCACATGACACACAAACAACCCTGAACATACCCTACACATCGTTGCGTTTTTTGC